GGATTGGTAGATACCCCAGTTTGCCACGAACTTGGTGAATTTTTTCTTCAATTGAGAGTTTCAGTAGTTCTTCTATATCTATGTAAATTTTCTCTAGACAAAATATATCGAGGTTTTCCTTGGAAGTTGTTCATTCTGTTACTATATACCTTGGTCTTTGTTTTTCTTCATAACTATATTGATTGTTGATGCTATTCTCTATGCCATTGGAGGCTTCTTTTCCTTCTTTAGATGCCGCAGTTGTTGAAACAACTGTTACTGATAATGGTGATCTAGATTCCATATTCATTTCTACTGTTATTTTAGCAATTTCCATGGTGCTTCTTCAGGGTTTGTACTGTTGTTCTGTTCTTCGTTTATTAACTTCATGTTTTCATCTTGGTTTTTGGATAAGGTCCTATATAGTTGCTGAGATTGCTGCCTCCTTTTCTTTGTCTGCTGTTGTTCTGTTTCTCTTGGCACTGGTAATTGGATTAAATTTGTTCAATATTTTGATCTTCAGAAGCAATTTTGCAATTTTGTCACTATTGGTTATAATTCTTTTACTGGTGTAGTTGACCACAGTGTCTTTGACTCTAGGGGACCTTCTGGACATGTTTGTTAAAGAAGCTCTTTGCGAGCATTGAGTTTTTTCTTGGAAACTTTGGGTTGTTACCATAAAAAAAATTTTTCACGAATTTGATGCAAGTAGGAAAAAGCCAGTCCTCATCCAAGTCAACTAAGAAAGATATTATTATCTGATATATATATCTAATAAATATAGATTAAAAAACTAATAAATATTTTATATCTACAAATCTAAAAAGATATAAAGAGATTTAAAATATTTATATTTATAAAGTAAATACAAAAACTTTATAAAAGCTTATATAAAATAAATTAAATACTTTAGTCTTAACTCAAAAATAAAATGGATAACTTCAATTGATATTGAAATATTAAAAGTTATATTTTCTAAATTAGAACTTAGTAATAATAAAATTAATAATATATTGATTAAAAAAAACAACAATTTAGTTAAACTTCTGGACACCAATAAAATATATACTAACTTAATTACTAGAGCTTTAAATAGTACTCAAGCTAAAATATGATATACTGTATATTAAAAGATCTCTATATTCTCAAAAAATGAAACTTTATAATAATTTATTTTGAGATACAAGAAAATCAAGATAATATATACAAATGACACATTTTCTTATAAAAGTTAAATCTTTTCTAAAATATTAAATATATCTTTAAGTTCAAAAAACAAAGTTTAAAAATGAAACAAGAAATTTAAGTACAAAAGACAGATATAATAAAATAGAAATGGATGAGAAATCAGAACTAAACTTATAATAAAACAATAAATTCACAGATTCAGCTTCTATTTTTACAAGATATTACAGTTTCCAAAACTAAAAATAAATTAGATAGCACAATAGTAATAGAAAAAGGTAAAAAAAAAATCAAGCTAATAGATATATAGCAATAGGAAGTAATTTTTTTTTTGAATATTAGCTCAGCCTTGTTTTATTTGTATATATGCCGTGATATTACATAGAGAAGCTATCCTAGAATATACTATCTGTTTTTTATCAAACAAAACTCAATAGAGATTTTTCTTTTCCAGGGTACTTACCTTGCGGCTTGTTGCTACCCCTTATATAGGGGCTAACCTGCCAAGGCTGGACTAGTACTAAAATAAATTTCAAAAATAAAGAAGCTGTCTATAATGTTTGTGAGCCATTGATTCATGAAATCATTAACCAGGTTTGTATATTGTTCTTTTATAAATCTTTCTCTTTTGATGAAAATCAGGTTTTTCTTTCTGGTTTCATATTTTGCTTGTTTTTCTTTTTTCCTTATGATGCACATCGTAACTTCTATCTTTGAAATGTTTCGTATTTCTTTGTCCAGATTTTGTATAGGAAGTTTGTTATACTGGAACGTATTTTTCCTAGACAAGTTTTCCTATCCAGTTGATTTGGAATGGTATTTTGGATGTTATAGATTAGTTCCTTGAAAAAGGTTCCTCTGATACTTGCTATTGAATATTCTTTATATTTTAGATTTGTTTTGCTTATAAATATGCTTTCAAATTTTCTTTTCTTTCCTTGTGTTGTATGGTTTTTAACACAAGTGATTATGGTGTTGATTAGGAAATCTTCTGTGGTATGTCTGAGTTAATTGTACATAAAAGGGTGTGTGCTGGTTTCTGGTTCATTGCATTTTTGACATTTGTTATTCTTGAAAATAGATGAGGTTCTGGTATGGAGTTTGCTTTTGGTTGGCAATTTATCATTCTATATATTGAGACAAAATTTTTGAAGCTTTTTGTCTTCCCAGTTGGTATGGTAGTCACTGATTTTAGTTAGTTGTAATGGTGTGATGGTTATTTGCCAATTTATTTCTTTTGCTATTCTTTCACTATAGTTGCATCTTGTTTGGTTAAGAAGTTTCCATTTTGTCAAGTAAATTGTCTGGGTGAGCTTTTTTGTAATTGGTTTTATAGGAATTTCTATAGGGACATTGTTCCATTGTGTTATTATCTCTTGAGGGCTATGTTGTGATCTCAGTATCTCAATCACTTTCTCTCTAGGTTTCATTCCTTTCCATCTATTGATCTGTACCCGGCAATCTGCTTGTTCATTGTGTTCAATTCCTGAGTAGCCTTTTATCTTATATAAAGATAGTTTTATCTAGTTTTGTTTACACCAGCCCACTATTTGAAGAAGAAGGTTTGAATTTTTCTGTGTTTTGATGATTTTTTCCAGCTTTTCTTTTTGAGTCTTGAGAATACTATTAATTGCTACTTGACTATTAGTATAAAGAGCTACAGAAAAGTGTTCAGATAGAACACTTAATACTGTGAGTATTGCTGCAATTTCTGCCCTGGTGGATGATGGGCGTGTCATTATTTGTCCTTGAAAAGTGTGTTCCTCCTGGTTTGGAGTAATAATAACTCAGCCCAGTCCCATATAATATTTTCCATTGAAATTGTTCATTGAACCATTTGTATAAATTTCAAAAATGGCATAGTTTTTTAGTTTTCCTCTGATTGATGCTAGTGATGCCAGGCTTTCAATATGGCCTTTTAACAATTTTTCTAAATGTTTGAGATGTAGTTGCGCACTATTTGGTGGTTGAATTTCAATGGTTGCTTCTTGTTGAGTGATAAAGCTTGTGTATATTCTGAGAGTGTAATAGAGAGGAAGTTGGAGGAAACCCTGTTTCGCCAGATTGTTTCTCTTTCTATATGATTACTTTGCCTTGTTAAAGACTTGCTTTTGTGAACTGGTATTATTATAAATTGTTGTTTAGTGGCTGTGAAACTGTATTCTCCAGTTTAATTTTCTGTGCCATTTATTGTGCATCCTTCGCAAGCCTCTAGTGGTAAACTTTTTGAGTTCTATGTTAGTGTCTATATTGGTAGTGTTTTTATCTATTTTTTGTTGTCTTTTTCTAATAGTTGGGTTATCTTCTTTTATGGTGAATATCCAATGAGGCCATATCTGCCACATCATTTATTAACATATATGCTGTACAGATTTTGCGGATATATTGGGCCTTTTTTCCCGGAGTCACAATTGAGGGATCTGTACAAACTCTTATTACATATTTGTCAACAAATAATTATATATTTTTGAAGTAAACCTATCTATATAAGTAGCTATATCTATTCTACTTCTATATATAACTACTATCTATTTGGAAAGATATACAATTCCTTCATAATTTTTTCTAAAACAATTTTATTTATATTAAGAGTAATTTGATTATCAGGCTGTCAAATTTTCTTTATCCTGAATTTTTTGGATTTCTTAGTCCTTCGGAGTGGTTCGCGAATTTTTCCTCCCACCAAGGCCTCCCAATAGTCAAGTCTGTGAAACCTGGCACAGCCACATACTTGAATTCTTAAACAGATACCTCAACATCAAGGCAGGGAACCGGGGTTTTCTTCAGTTGATTTATCATTTCTTCCTTTAGCGGTATGCTACCGGTTCAATATCTACTCTTCTTATTACTAGTTTTTTTCAATAACGTGATTGTGTCAGGATAATCCTACCCAATTTTAGACATTTAACCATATCACAATCTTTATATAGACCATCCTGTGACCACATCAGAAATCCCATTTGACCAATGATCAGAACTATATTCGGAAGCATCAGTTAATTTACAGTTATGCCAATGGGGTAGATCTACCAGTGTCAGGAGTTGCCCCCTGGAGGATTTAATCTAGTGACCTTGTGATATGACCTACGGAGTGCTAACCACTGCACTACAGACCCGTAGGTCTTCTTGCAATAGGAAGTAATAAGAAACTAATATAAAATTATTTATATAGAAATTATAGATACTCAGAAAAAAAGAAAAGAACTGATATAAAAAGTATACAAAACCCTCCAAGTATTCTAGGCAACTTAAAAAGTTTATATGATAGAATAGATATATTAGAAGAAGAAATAGATTCAAAAAATTAAGGCAAGCTAACAGAAAAGCAAAATTGCTTCTAAAGGTATACCAGTTCTTTACACCAATTCAGAGAAGCAAGAGTCTAGTTTCTTTTTATCAAAAATTAATAACATAGACAAAAAACAATTCATAAATAGAGATAATAGAGTATAATAGAATAGAAATTTAGACATAACAGTATTTCTACAAAAAAAGTAAGAAATATTCCTAAACCATAAAGCTAAACACAAACTAGAAGAAAAATACTAAAAGAAGAGGACAAAATATATAAAAAAGTAAGAAAGTAATAAAAATGTGCACATATTAAAACTTCATAAACTATAGTAAGATTTTTGTTTATAAAAGAATAAAATATACTTTAAATGTTTTAGTTTCAATAATCAATGCAATAACTCCTTCAATTAATGGTTTTCAAACTTATTTATTTATTTTATATATAGTTCCATCTAATCATGTAATTGTTCTTATATTTTTATTTAGATTGCCTCTTTTATTAATAACTCTATAAATTTCGCCCTATTTGGTTTTTAATAAATCTATTCTTGTTCATCACCATAGATTTTGCATCCAAGTTTCGACTGTTTTTCTACGTTTTTTCGTTCCGTTTCTATCGTCTAAAGAAGTCAATATAATTAGAATACTATATAATGTATGTTAATAACAGGTTCTCAAACAAAGTGATTTTTACCTCCACCCTATTTTTCGCGAAGTGATATGCTGCATGCGCATTTTTTATTAGAAGTGATTTGGGAAATGTGTCCAAAATCAAATCTTCGTCGATATCATCTGGCCAACATCCAATAGATGCTTCTGTTAAATAAACCGATAACGGATGATCTTCGTGAATACTTTCTACTGATAACTTTCGTAGGACAAATCGTTTTAATGCTAAAGTGAATGCTTTAACCGGAATGAGTCTTTCTGTTTTGGCATTTTTGTCTTCAAAGGAGCAAGCAAAAAGAATCTGTGATTCCATTTGACTTGTTAATTCTGACTTGTATCTCGAGGAAACGCTCTCCATCACAATATTGGCAACTTTCTCTTCAACAAGTTCATATAGTGCAATAATATGCTTGAGCTTTAAACCGATATTCAGGACTTTTTTTAGTTCTTTGTTTTCTGAGAGGACAGAGAGTTTTATCCATTGTTGGATGTATTCTTTGATGGTCATGTTGCCATCACTACTCACAGTTCTCTTTATAAAGCATAAAAGTAATTCTAAAGAGGATAACAGATATGATTCATTGCCAGAAAACATTATTTCTACGCGCTTTGAATTGCTGGAAAATTTAGGAGCGTTTCCAGTAAGATGTGCCAACATATTATGCGGTATTGGTTCCTGTTTAATCATTTCCTTGATGTCATGTAGTATGGTTGTGGAACCCTGGAACATCTCCATATAGTAGGGGAATGGTTCTAATATATGTCCGTCTTGTTCTATTGGTTCTAAGTAGGTCTTATTGAGAATAAGGTCTTGTACTAGTTCCGCTTCTATTTTACGTAAATCATAAGCAATCTCTTTGCCGCTACCAATTTCAAGATTACACTGACTGTGTTCAAGAAGTTTTGGATCCCATACGTAATTAATAAAATTTTCTTGTCGAGCATCTTCAAGTCGTACAGCTCTAATATTATACGGGTTGTTTACATCGGAGTTAATCCCTTCTTGCTGCTCGAGAAATTTCAACGAATAACACGCTCTAGGTGGGATATTCGAAACCTCATATAGGAATCTATTCTGAAGGTCGACCAAATATTCTAGTGCAGCACATAAAAATAACCCTTCATCTTTGTTATCAATAAGACCGTAGATTATCGGACAATTCAGATTCATCACGGGTTTATTGGCAGGTATTTCATGACATTGATATCGTTTAATAAGAGGCATTATTGTATTCCAAGAATCCGCAAAATTATCATATTCTTCATTAAACTTGTCTGCATTTTCGTCACTGTCAATAAACTCTTGGAAAGTCATGTTTAATGCTTGATCCCGTTTAATACGATAGCTAAGACGTGATGTGAGAATATGCGAAAATTTCACTAGGTGATACAAATGCTTCAAATGCGGTAGGTTCTTTTCGTACTTGAAAAATATTGCGATAACAGGGTAACTTTCGCTATTATTTGCATAATATGCGCTAAAGTTATCAAAACGTGTACTTCCAATACGTCTCCACAATCTAGGAAGCCTTTCTTCATGATATGCATCATCTAACTCCATAGTCTCGTTTATTTCTGCTTCGAAAGCACAATGTTTCTTCTTTATATCTTCTTTAGTCCGCTGAAGTCTACTATATAAGTTCAATGCGGTGGCATTAGGATTATTAACCCGGTTTTTAATGTATTTGGTGGTAAAATAAAGTTCCCAATTTGTTCGCTCTTCTTTTGTTCTCAACATGGAATTTAAAGAAGAATTATCTTGAGCCATAGAAAGAAGTATGTCGTGTAATATCAAAGCTAAGTTCTCATTATTACAATTAAGAAGAGCTTTCAACACTTCCCAATCTTTGATAACGTGATCTAAACAATACTCGACAGGATTGACATTATTAAAGATCGTTGTGGAAGACTCAGAGGCAGTAATGAGAACATGGACAAAGAGGTGTAGTATACGATAAGAAATTGGAGTCATTTTTCGAACATTCTTGGCGTGTTCTCGTGTTCCTTGTTCTACTAAATAACCTTTTTTATCTTCTGTTGTGATTTGGTTCGCATTTAATCTTTGTTGACCAGGAGCCGACGTATGATTTTGTCCACCTAACATTAAAGCGCACCCTTTTGTTGGACACTTTCGAGTTTGCATGGTTCTGCCACATTCACCTACGACATATCTATGACCGCATTGACATTGGTACCTAAATTATAAGGATTATAATAAAAGAATACGTATGCATAATCCTATACAGTAATCCGTAAAAAGTAATGACCTACGTACCATGTAAATCCCTGAAAGGTATTCACTAACATTGCATCCTCGTTGGAGGGACATGTTAATACGTATGTATTTTGCAACCTTCGCGGTTCATGGAGGTATGATGTCAATGGAGAGTGATGGGTTGGAAGCGATGCGTGGACCGTGATTATATGTATCATTACTAAACGAATTATCAAATTTGTGTCACCTGTCTGTTGAATCTTTAGTAAGGGGTGATCGTTAGATAAAAGTTTTTTTGCAAATTCCTTATAAACAGGTGTTGTATTCATCTTGTCCAAATTTTTTCGTAGGCTATTTTTTAACTTATTTTCGTTTTTATCTAAACGACGTGTGGCGATGACTGAGTATAAACGTATTGAAATAACCCCGATAAAGGCAATTTTTAGGTCAACCTGGTTGGCAGGTGATATAGTGCATAATAATTCGTCAAATTTATTTCTTTCAATGGAGTATTCTATCTCTTCATATTCCCTGAGTAAAATGTAGGGGTTAAAGGGCAAATGAGAATCGTCATCATTATCCCATGGTAAATCGGCGAGCCACGGTAAAGTTTTCTGCTGACAATCACGAAATTGTCTAAGGTCTTTTATTGAGAGACCACGATCTCGCAAAATCTTGAGAAAGTAGAATTTGAACGACTGGACCTGTGGGTGCGACTTTCGCATCAGATTATTTAAACGACCAATAAATCCATCTGAATCTGTTAAGTTAAACTTGATCGGTATAGTGAAGGCATTGTCCAGAGTTGCGGGAGTCAATAAGTCATTTACAAACTGTTTCAACAGTGCTATGGAACAAATAAGCTGAAGGGCTGTCTGTTTAGCACCAGTGGCATATAAGTTTTGTATCGCATATTGAAATAGTTCTAGGAGTTTGCTTATTTCCATCTTAGCAAAGAATGAATTTTGAAGGACATCGCAGCATAACGCTAATAACTGCGAATCGCGCTGATTCATCTCCAGTTTTTTGTTAATTATATATAGCCCCGGCGATGTTCTATTGGAATTTCTAATTATAGCCAAAAATATACCATTATATCCTTTTTCTTCTGCGCGAAATATGCTGAGTATCGTGAAAGTCGTAAATGGAAATGGTTGAGCTTGTGAAAACAAACTATGATAGAGGTGCAAACAAACAGGAGATTCGAGAGGTTCATTGTTCAAAATTTGCAAGTAAAAATCTTGTCTCATCGCAACATCTTTATCAATTAGTTTTAAAATATAGTCCACAAATGTCTTATCCGAAACACCGAAAGTTTGGCCGTAGTCTATAAGTGTTGGGATTATTTTAAGATTGTTGAAAGTAATAATCTGCTTTGAAATAAGGTCATTGCATATGCGGAGGAGTTGAAAAGACGATGAAAAACTATCCGTAAGGAGCTTGGAACATAGGGAAAGCACTTTAGGTGAATCGAGCTGCCACTGTTGAAACTGTTTTATATCGGTCCTTATTATTTGGAGACGATCTAACATTAACCGAATAACTATATCCGGAAGGTCTTTATTAAGATTTTCAAAATCATCATTTATGTCTTCGTTTATCTCCTTAACAATAGAAGGACAAAGTTTGGCTAACTGTAATTCGGCAATTATAATGTTAGATTTTGCCCACCAATATGTATGAAGTCTAACAGGATCCAGGATTAATTTTTGACCCAAACGCCGACGTAGCAAAAGATCCAGAAGTTTGAAATTATCACCCGAAGATATTATTGTTAAAAAGTCTTTAGAGTATAAAGTAGCTGCTTCTTTAATAGGCACGTGCTTTAGAACTGATGTTGATAAAATATTTTGGAATCTTCTAAAATTATCGGTAAGCACACCGTTTAGTAGTTGTCCCGTGACCTTATTAACGTTGTTTTTATCTTCCTCAAGAATTTTAATATCCTCCAGATAAAATTTCTTGCAATTATTGATTTGATCGACGAGATAGTACGAAAAAGGAAAATCTAGATTATATGGACCATTCACTAGGCGATAATGGTCAGGTTTTGGGTTTGTCAAAGTGTCTGTACTAATAACATTATTGTCGGCGAACGTTTGATACCAAAACTCGAGAAGATTACCAACGTTGTTTTCGCATTCGATAATCAATAAGGTCTTTAGAGCGGAAAGTTTCTCGAGAGCATATATCAGCTTAGCAATTTGATTTCTCACTAAGGAGTGAATATACATTCGGAGGGCGGCGGAAAGGGAAGGATGCAAATAAAGTATCTTCTTTTCAGAAACAGCTTTTAATTGCCAATTTGCCGTAGTATTTTCGTCTAACCATTTAAATATTTTTTGCTTAAAAGCTTCTATAAGTCGCGGATGTTTTGGAATTTCATCAACGAGGTATCTAAAGAGAAATTTATGGTTTAATGTGTACGACTGTTATCATGTTTTGTATGTATGTTAAAATAAAGAACGCTCACTTTATATGCTCCACGCATTTCACTGTCGGTGAATATTTTATACAAAGAAGACACCATAATAACTCCTGCTGAAAGATTTCTTCAAATGGCAAGGTTAAATTCATGACATCCTTGATAGATTTCCCTAAAAGGATGGGTAGGCTCTTTTCTTGACGGGTCAGTGTTCCGACGGTGACTAGGTTCCATCCACACGTAAAATCAAACGAAACGGAAGCTTCACTTTGGTCGCGGTAAATGTGTAGAATAATGCACGCGTGTTTAGTCGGTAAGTCAATTTCTGCTTTGCGTTTTTTCTCTAGATATTTTGTTCTAATTTGTTCAATAATAAATTTTGCTAACTTGATACAACCAGAATTTATCATTAATAGGTCACATTGCAAAACCAGAAGTTCAACGTCACTATCGAACCAAAAATGCTTTATCCGATCCTGGAGTTGAGCCTCTGTCTTAAAAGTTGAGAGTTTATCCACCTGACAGGTCACCAATGAGTCTAAGCAAGTGCTGATGTCGGTATTTATGTTAGAAAATGTATTGATAATAATTAACTGCGCCTCTCGATTTTCTCGGTTATCTTTCTCACCGAGAAGTACTCTTAAACATGACTCGATATCATCGTGTAACCCATTGTTGAAATAAATGTCATTCAATTCAGCGACCTCTTTAGGATTCTGTGCGGCCAAGATTGATTGCCTTGCACGAATAACACCATCTGATGAGGCAATTGCCATTAACCTCTCTTTGCACCTCTCCAAAATTATAACATAATCCATGTCTTGATCACTCGTGCACTGATTAAATACTAAGCTCTGAATGGTTTCCTCTCTATCGAATCTCACAAAAATATCCTTTTCGGTGAATTCCTTTATCACTCCTTGGAATTCCATTCCGTTTAATGTTGATATTTGCCGAACCCATATACTCAACTCTTCGCAGAGTTTCATGTGACGTTTCGTGAGAATGTCATTGAACGTCAGTCGTTGTTTTTCAAATCGATTAAGCAGAGGAGGATCAGCGCGTGCAAGTTTACTTTCATCCATCACTAGGATACATTTGAAGTCTGGGTGTACTTGTAACATTGGATTAGAATAAGCTCCAAGCGCGACACGCGCAAAGTATTTCACGTCACCATGATTCCTTAGAGTAATGTAATTCTGGTTCCATAGATCATAGAGACTTCCTGCACGAAAACATTTGGTATTAAAACCAGTTAGTCAAGTATTGATGATAAGTGCAAAAAGGGGAAAGAAAGTATACCATAGATAACATCCAAATCAGTGAGAATCAAAGGTCTTCCTGCCTCGACACACATCTACGAGAGTGATAATTATTTTTCACTATTAACCAATGTCTAATGCTTTTTTATCGAATAAAAATCAATGCTCACCATTATTCGGCTCAAAACAGCGCACATGTAATCACTATCATCGTCATCAGGAAATTGTGATCCACATAGTATAATAGGGTCTAATTGTTGAGACCGCATATGATATGTTAAAATGTTAACCAAGGAGTCACTTTTCCCGATAATCATTAAATGCCGCGTATCTTTTCGACTCAAATTCTCGTTTACAAGTTGTAATAATGGAGTCGGTGTGTATTTATAATACTTGCTTTTACCGAAACTCTTCAATACATCTCCGAAATACTTTTCGCATATTACTTTAGTCTGATCTGTCCCCCCAAAGTTTCTAGACAGCCCCAGTTCTAATGATCTCACTAATATATAAAAATTAGTTGACATAACGATCAGAATGATAGCGAGTGGGAATACATGATGTAAAGATCTCACTTGTTAGTTCGGTGCCGCTTAGGCTTTTCACCAGAGCATAATAATCCCGAAGTCCTAGTGTAATCGTAAAATAGAACAATAAAGTTGTAAGTATTTGCAGTATAACTAGGAAATACAGAGACACGAAAAGTTTACCATGAAAATTTTTAAATTTTTGATTCTTCTCGTAATTGAGGTAAGCTTCGGCGAGTTTTTTGAGTTTGAGATCATCGATCGCATTAGTCCTATCATCTAAAAGCATGGTGGCAGTCATAGTAAGATCTTCGAGATCGAATTTTGGCCTTTGCACGAGCAATGCTCTGCTCGATTTACTATTATCCAAACGCCAATTACTGATACCAATAACTGATACTATTGGACCTTCCTCAGGATAATTAGGTTCTAAAAGGGAATGAAGAACTTTCAAGGGATTAAACCGACTAGTCTCCGCTAAACCAACTTCATCAAGTAGGACAACCGATTGCACAAGGAACTTCTTTGAGCTTGCTCTTTGATGTCTTTCCGCTTTCTCGAAAACCTTAAGAATCCCGTCCGAGGTGGATGATGCAGATCCTTGATGCGGTGTAAGATAAATCTTTATACGTAGAAGTGATGGTTGTAAATTAGAAAGGTGACAAGAGATATACTCGATTCATTGTTTATACTTGCCTGTGGTAATGTACGGAAGTATTCATCCTCAGAACTTGTTCCTCGAAGACTTGAACTAATGAGCCGTATCGCCAGAGATTTTGAGCTATTGGAAGTGATATTGCCAATGAATAAATGAATAGTTAATTTTTACCTACTAAAACAAAAAAAAAGAGAAAGAGAAGCGAGAAAAGAAAGAACCTTCCAGGCGCTCCGATTATAAAAACAGGTATTTTATTCAATATGCAAACGAGCATCACTAAAACATTTTCCAAAAGTGCATCGTTGTTGGCTGTCGATGGAGGACATACCATTCGTTTCATGATATCTTCTTGTTCTTTACGTATTATTTGCTGAAAAGTTGAAGCGGTAACGTTATATTTATGTGCCTTAAAAATCTGCGCCATATGATTTCGATATCCTTTTCGTAATTCTTGATTGTACAAACGGGATTGGTAGCAAAGTCCAAGTGATAGGACAAGGCTGTAACACTTCAATTTTTTTTCATCCTTTGGCGGATACCTCCAAAAGTTTATGAAAAAACCACTACCAGAACATGGGGCCAGTGGTCGCTCTCTCAGGCTTTTTTGAAACCATTCGACTAATTGAATCGCTCGTTTTACATCGCGCAGGCTGACAGTGTATGGCTCTTCGTATTTACGAATGAATTGCTGTGAATCGTAAAGGAGATCTACGAATAATGGATTCGTTCCTAACCGACTTTCCACCATACTGTTAATGTACATCTAAATTACGTATAATTAGTAATTAAACCTTGAAACACAGATTAAACGCATATGGCAATTTTGCAAACTTACTCTCTCTTCCTCGGCTTTGAGCACGCCGTAATCCCAAACATAATCCAATATTTGATTAGGCAATGGATGCACTTGATAAACTAACTTGCTCTGTTCTTGGTAGCTTTTCTCTAAACCCACGCTGCTCGCATTTTTTGTGCGCAATCGATAAGGATTACACGCCGCAAATAGGCGAATGTTATGATGTATTATTCTTCCCGATAGTATTCGGTGCGCGATAAGATCGGCCAAAAGTCCAATATGATTGCAAGTATTGATTTCATCAAAGAATAGCCATATCTGACCATTCACAGCGTCCTTTGTACTTTTCTCTATAAATTCACAAATTTGATCTTCACGTATACCGGCGTGAAGTGAAAGCACCTTGAATTGAACTCCAACTACCGTTGAAAGAAAGGAAATCAAACTCGTCTTCAAAGAAAAGCAGAAAATTTGAATGATTAGTAATCTTGTGTCGCTAAAAGTGTGTTATTGAATAGTTTTGTCTGTTTTTTCTTCTTTTAAAATACCTTGCCACAACCTGCCTCGCCGCAAATAACCACAGGAATGTTTGCACGAGCCCGCAATAAAATAAGCGCCATCTTCAGGAGATTGTCCGCCGACAAAGCATATTTAGGGAGTTTCCTTTCGCCTGTCGACGTTCGTGCTATCAATTCTAACTTATCTAGTAGCTTATTCGCCGGCATGGTGTGATAATCTTCCAACTCCCACCACTTTTGCGGTTCCATAAAATCGTTAATTTCTTGACTCTTCAATAAACGTTTTACGCTAAGCGGTACTTTTGATCGTTCACGATAAAGAGCGCAAATGGAATCCGGCGTCTGAGACAGGAAGAAGACCAAGAGATGATTGGTAGAATCCCATTGCACAATGGTTTCTAGCTGATCGTTACTTGTGTTCTGCGTTGATTGTAACTGAGCTGCTTTCGTATTAATAGAACGTGTCGCAAAATCTTTGGAGACTTCCAGTAAAGTTTCTAGCAATGTTGTGCGAATTCTGTTATCTGCTACCATCAGTCTAAGATTGTGTATATTGAAAAATGAACTCGAAGACAAACGAATTAATTGATCTGCAAACACGTTTAAAAATATTTCCACGAAACGATATGATGCGGCATTTTTATCGTTCTTATCTAGAAAGTATTTCTGTATCAACTCACGAGATCTCCCGGCATTTATGGGTTTTTTTAAAGCATTATATCCAACAAATGAAATATCCCGTTCATCAAGTTCTCCACGATCATGTGCGTCTAAATAATGAGATACGACTTGTATCTGGCTGTTTAATTCGTTCGTGACAATAAGATTATTAACGTTCCATCTCAAATGCTTCCTTTTAAGGCATTGCACAATCGGAATCGAATCTAATAGATGTTGACCATGGGTTGATGAAATCTCGATATATACATGCTGTTTTGGAAGGCGCACAATACCCTTTTTGTTTGAAATCACTCCGAGTGTTAGAAACTCAAAAAACAAACCGTTAACGTCGTAAGGATTGTTAACAGGCATGACGTTCAAATGCAAACTCTCTATGGGTTTGAGTTTGAATTCACTGAGCTTACTGACAAGCTCGTCAAAATGTACATTATCACCTATAAACAAACTTCGAGAAATTAAGCCTACTTTGAAACTGGCTTGCCTTACATACTCGGTCTTTCCTTGACCGGATAATTCTGAGGTGACGCAAAAGACTTTGGGGCAAAGTTTTTCGTAAATGTTCTTCATACTGTCCTCATTAAGACCGTTGGTGGTGTGCACATATTCAGAAAATTGATCGAGAATGTGATGATGAATACCATTCTCTTGGCAACATATCAAAGCCAAATAATAGTCAGTTTCAGTTCTCTGAAAATTCCGTACATCATTGACCAAATTATACTGTAACTCTAATTCAAGGGACTCCAAACCCGCAATGCAAAATAGTCGTTCTTGATATCCATTTTTCGCGGCAAGGAAACATCGCTTGATGAAAATTGAAAGTTCTTCGGCTGTTGTAGTAACCCTGCACATCAACAGTTGCCATGGTTCAGGATACGAGCCATGATTCGCATAAAGAGACATGACAATGTTTGGTACGCGATAAGCGTTAGTGCACGTCGCGACAAACAATTTCCCATTATAGACAACATCTGAGATAATTGGTTCAAGTTTGAACTCAATCTTCTTGGTACATTTAGATGTTTGTGCAAATATTTCGCTTAACTTTTTTCCAATAATGCAAAATACTTCGTAGAAATCCCTTTTATCCGTATCGATTTTTATGCTCTGCTCACTCGTTAGTAATTTTGCCTTTTTACTAACGAACTGAAGCAATATTTCACATATCTCGCGATTTTCTTGATTAACTGGGTAATTGAAATAATCATAGAACGCTAGAATATGTCTGGCAGTGTAAAAGGTTAAATAGTAATGCTGATCCTGTGCCCTTTTCATATCATTCTCCCTAGAATAATATTTAAGGTTGGTCATACGTAGTTAAAAACACCGATATAATGAATAGTGAAATACACTAACCAGATTTGAAGATCTTCTCTGAGATTTTCGAGCATTGAATTTATTTCCGCAGAGTTCACAGATTTTTCCCACTTTCTATAGGAAAAGTGACCAAGCTCCATTAAATAAGATGCGTATTTAACAATCTGGTTTACTACATATACTTGCTGAACAAAATTCATTAATTCATCAGTCCCATGTTCTAAACTATTCCCGTTTTCAACCGGCAGGCGTAGAACAAAGGCTGATGCTGCCTGCTTCGCAATCAAGAGTGCCTGCCCTTGTAAATCTTGTATCCCTGAAAAGTCATAAGAAACTATCTCTCCATTCTTGTCTTTACAGGATAATTTTACCACGCACTTATCATGGTTTTTGTCCCGGCTAAATTTATAGGAACCTCTAGTCGTAGCATCCCTGATAAACTCCTTGGTTTTCTCTCCCCTATCAAAAATGCTGAAATATATGTTTTGAAGTGCAAGACTATTGGAACAGCACTTTGAAATTTTATCGGGCAAAGAATCGTTCATTAAAATTATTCCACGTATCTGTTCTAGGAATTTATATATAATCATTTGTGTTGCACTGCTTTCTTTAAAAAGTTTTAGTTCATTCATTAGAGGTACCAAGAATTGCTTAACTTCGATTAGTAAACCAACCGTTTCTTCTTTTTCTTGTTTCTCGGCCACACCATTAAATAAATTTCTCAAGTCACTATCTGCAATTTCCCGAAGCCAATTAACAAAATCACCTGCGTAAGACAACGCCCGAACCATCTCCCAACAATTATCATTAAAATTATCTATATGCTTGTTCATTTCATTAATAGCTTTAAATAGATCTCCGAGTAATAGCGGTTCTTTGCGTAGCTTGTTATGTACCTTAACTACCCAACTTTCGGTTACATTTTGCACTTTAAAAACTCCCAAGGTTTTTTCTAAATCCCCGAGCCTGTCCATACACTGCTTAATGCTCGCAAGATAACTGATCGCTGTTTTCAAATTATCTTTGGAATTCCATTTCATACCTCGTGACATGAGTTCAAGTTCATTATCGATATTCATTGCATCTTTCCAAAATGAACTAATCTTTAAACAATCAAGTTTTTGCCAGTCCTCATATTCGGTCCGTATTTGGTCATACTGGGAAAATGTCATGGGCATGAATTTTGTGGCGACCAGCTCGACGGTCAATGTCATTTTACATGTTTTCAATTGCTTTTCAAAAACATTTTTGAACGTCTGAGATTTAGCGTAGATGTATGAGCGTTTTGCTGCAGTGATGATTAATTTATGAAGTTTCCAAAAATTCTCATCGAGAACATCCTCAAGTGTGACATTGTTTGAATTTGATTTTAACTCCAGATCGTTAATGTATTTCTGTGCATCTGCAGTGTCCACACAAAATCGTCTGTAGAAGGTGTTGAGATCATCTAACTTTCTTAAATACGTTTCGTAGTCATTTCGAAGTGAATTAAGAGTTATCTGCGTAATGTTAGTTGATGATCCATTAATGGTGGCAAAGTATGGTAACAACCGTTTGTCATCATAATCAAGAACTCCTTTTAGTATATTGATTTTTATAGATTTGTCTTTTAGCTTTGTAGCCAGTTGGATGATAGCTTGTTGAACAATATTAATATAGACGTGATTTTTGTGAATTTGCTCAACAGACCCAGTTGCCATTAAAACGCAAACCCAAAATTTTGAAGAATTTAGCAATTCCTTGTGAAAATTGTCGTCTGTGATATCCATATTCATCTTTGTTAGATTCTCGTGTAACCTTGTTAATATATGAAAGACAGTATCCTCACACAGTCTGTTCCAAAAAAAAAAAAACGAATGAGGTTCCATAATAGTAGGGATATAAATGGAAATAAGAAATTTCGTACTTACTTGTTCGGAACGTGCAACTTATTATTGCGAGAGTCACATATTTTCATTATTTTTTCTAATAAACGATCATCGTTTTTAACATTTGGACCAAATTTTTCCTTCAATAAGATACTAAAAGCCTCGATAATTTCTTCTATTTTAAAATTTCCAATTTTGGCGGCAGCATTAAAAATCTCGTTATCCGGAAGAACTTTGGTTTCTTCTTTGGCAATTTTAAAAAGTTCTTCATACGGAATATGGTAGCTGATAATGATAACATATATCATGGTGAGATGATGAAAAATTGTGAACGCAAAATCCTCTTTGATGAGCTTGGATTTTTTCTTGATATCTAAGATACTCCTGAACCATCGAAAACAAATATTTTCGACTTTTCTATTTTCCAAATAATCATCTAATGAGTATTTTCTAAGAAAACTTTCAAGCCGACTTGTAAATACTTGTAACATTTCTAAATTTCGTGAAACCGAGATTTGATATAATGCCTGAAATGTAGAATCCACTTCCCAACCTAACCTTACATCATCGAGCAACTTAAGCATTAAATCCAAATCATTTCTGCTACAAGTTACTCCTGTACCGCTCAATTGTTTTAAAACTGCCGCGCGAAACACTGTAGCTGAATCAATTCCAAAATCATCAGGAATCTTCCCGAGATTTTTATACAATTCTTCAACATTGCCATCTGATATGAGCTTTCTTATGAGACCAAGTGAAGACTGGACAAGATGCTGATTGGTTTTCGCTTCGAGAAGGAAAATTGATTTCCATAAAAATACGACTGCGTCAATATCTTGACATAAGTCTAAGAGAGCCTAGTTTAAAATCGTGAGTAACCTTAGATTTGTACGCACATTTATCCTGTACATGAGTTAATTTTGCCTAATCAGTCAACATACCTTACAAACTTTAACGTACGTAGTTTCATGCTGAATGTCATCGATGTACGGTTTCGCGATGTTTTCAAGGGATAAAAAAAAATCAGAAGCATTTCGTCTAGTATATGCGGGAGTATTGATTTGTTCTAGGAATGTATAATTTGGATCTATAACAGGAGCGATCTCAAAGACCTCCATCCATTCGAATTTGGATGAATAGGTTGATATATGGTTTACTAGTGCGCAAATGAGTGGTGCAAACATTGCAATAACATCCCGAGGTAGATCGTCCATGTTAATATCCTTAAAAGTTCTCAACATCGCGAGAGCGGGAAACTTTTCCGGAAGGTTGAGCCAATGTGATGCTTGGGTTTTTCTTTCATTTATAACGTAGCTCAACAATACGCACAAGAATGCTTTTTTCTCGATAGTATTATTAGAATCTCCAAAACTCTTCAAAACAAAATGACCGGTCAGACCCAAAATGACCGAGTCATTTCTTACAATATCCTCGTATTCCATTATTTTTTCTTTCATGGAGCTCTTTGTCACGGATTCATAAATAAGAGAAAGAAATGGATAATGATTCCGTAAATCTTCTTCCTTTAATTTGTATTTTTCGGTTGATCTCCATAAATCATATTGGTTTTCTTTGGAAACAAAATTTCGAATTACAGGTTCCTCGTGCCACTCGCCAGTATTGATATCAGGGATCTCTGGTTCGTTTGATTCATTCAAGATCAACTGTTTCAGAAGTTCTATAGGACCAACATGGATCCCATCATAAATATAATATCTATATCTGATCGGTTCACCTTGCAGAGTGGATATTGGCAATTTGACACTATCTGAATGCCAATACAAGGAGTTTCGCTCGTGTTTTTTGAGCTTTATTATGCCATTCCTCCATTTCCCAAATTCATTTATGCTGCCGATAACAAACACCACAGACTTTTTAGATAACCCTTTAGGAACCATTACATGAAAGTGGGTGGTCACCACATTATCTCTTTGAGGATGCGACGAACATGCTGTTTGGGTGTTCGTCTCAATAATACTAGAATTATCACCATTCCGCTTCAACTGACCTATATCTTGTAAATTAATACTATCCTTGTCATCCTCATTCTCTGCGATTTTACCACTCTTATTTTCATTTTCTGTAAGATCATCCAATTGGCAATCATTTTTATCGACGTCTCCGAGCGAAGAATCTTTGTCTTGGGAGAAGGAACGGTTAATGCCCTCCCATCTCTGACCTTTCGTTGTCGATTGAACGTAGATTTCATAGTCTACATCTGAAGCTTTCTTATTTGTTTCTATTTTGTCGACTATTGCCTCTGTTGCGTCATCTTTAATCGTTGAAATATTTGCAACGATATCTTTATTACTGGGACTAGTCATTTTTTTCTTAACCCGATCAAAATAAAATTACGATTATTGAGGCGAGATCGAATTTAATATACAGCATGTATCTGGGAGAACTACAAGTTATCTACCTTATTGGGAAACAACACCAACACCACAACCAAACTAAATTTGGAAACAATTACGACTAAATTTTGGTAATACGCCACTTAACTTAATGTACTGTGTTGACATTCCAAAAAGAAATGGAATAATCAAACAAATGTTCGATTCTCTTCTTTCTCGCTCTAATGCCTTCAAAACTTTTTTCACCATTGTTAACTGATTATCATTTTTTCGAACATTATGAAAAACATGATACGGTTAATTTGATCTCTAAACATCAAGTTTCGCAATTGCGTGAATTCTTTCAAATAATAAATTAAATCTGGAAAAACTATTATTTACATCCGGAACTCGGATTTACCGACTTTCCTTAATGAACTTAAACCCGGGGCGTTACAAAGAATCCGCAATTCCGCTTCGGTATGTAGTCTGAAAAGACAGTAATTGTGTCTTTATTTGTAAATAATGACAGTATAGCTTTTTGTGAAAATCTTTCTAAAGCTGTCGGTTACAAAAGCCCACAATGACTCATAAAAATGACAGATTATGTAATATTATTTACGATTCACATTTTTAAGAATCATAGTGTAACTTTTTGTGAAAATCTTTCCGAAAATTACAAGAAATTCGCGTACAATCTTATTTCAGACTGCCTTATCAAAGATTGAGCTAAGAAGGAAAAGTTTTTCTTACCATTAAGAAAATGGTATTTCGGGCAGCGCTGTATATCTAAAGTTTTTAAGTTATCCGGTTTCTGATGCCTGTGCATTTTAAAAATAAAAGTTAACATAAAATGTACAGTATTATTGCTGCAATTGATTTAACTTCTCCGAGGTTCTACACCCATTCGTTGCATTCGGCGAACTTGGTACAAGTATTCACCTGGACTGATATAATGGAACCTTTAACAAAGAGTTTCTTGAGTAAGATTTAGCTGGTATTCTACGAGTTTTGTCCCAATATGAATCATATTTACCCCCTTAGAAAATCATGGCTTAATATTAAATTCTTAAAGACAGTGTGGTCACGTGACCACCGTACAAGAAGACGACTCTGAATTTGCAAACTTTACGATAACCATAAAATAACGGAAGTTTTATAATAAATACATTAGACTTCGTATTAGAAGCCACCAAATAAGCTATAAGTAGCTGACTATGAGATAGCAGCCGTATAAAAGGGAAATAAAAATTTATGCAGAAAAGTAGTAAGGAAACACCAAATAAAGAAATAAAAGAAGCACTAAATAACTTGCCAAGTCGAACGCCTCTTTCTGTCTCTCATGTGTTCATACTTCGTTATGTTACGCGAGCTTGTGCAATATTTGGCGACGGACTCGTTTCTGACAACGACCTTAATTTTTTGAAGATTAACACTGCAAAAAATTTTGAAAATTTTAATATCTTGAAAATTTTTCAAACCATTTATTCTATTTATTCGACAATTTCGAATCGATTCAAAGGATTTTTAATCGAAAATCATTATCCTTTATAGAAATTTTGCCGTAAATTTTGCTCAAATACTTATTCCTGTTCTCTGATGTGAAAACCGCTTAATAACAAATAGTCATATCGGCGTTTTCTTTTTTTTTTTTTTTACAACTATTTTTTAAATTTGAACATTTTTAAAATAACAAAACAGCCTCTATCGAATACAATTGGCAAGTTTATGGAACATGCACACTAACTCAAAAAAATTGTATTAATCTTTTAATCGTTTTTTCAACTTTAACAGTATTTAAATTCATAACTATATCTTAAAATTACAAAATTTATATACAATATTATCTATAAACTCTATATTATTTTATAGATTTTAACTATTATTACAAAATATACTTTAAACATAAATTCTAGTAAATCGGCAATCTTTAATGAATATTTCCGATTGATAATTATCATAAATAATACAACAATATCAAAATTATACAAAACAAACTTATATATAAAATTCATTTTTGAACAAAGTTTGATTTCTGCCACTCTATATACCGTATATCAAATATAAATTTTTTAAAGTTTTTTATATAATAAGATAATTGAATCAGATTTTTTAATTAAAAGTATAATTCGGATTCTACAAAAAAACTCTCCCACAGATCCATTTTTTAAAAAATTTCCTTTTATAGTAATTTTTAAAGGAAAAGAAAAGGTGAATGGAAAGATGCTGTCTCAAAGGGAACTTCGAAGCAAAATGGTCTAGTAGAGGCCTAACTACAATGAGAACATTCTCACAAAAGGTAATATAAACAAATTATGCAAAGAAACAATAACATGAATAGTAAAAGAAAATACTATAAACAAAGAAAAGGTAAAAAAAAACAGTTAAAAAGAAACCCAGTTTGAAGACTTTAACAACCAACACATGTTCCAAAACCTAGCAGCATAGGTTACAACATCCATACCTTTCTTTGAAACCAATAAAAGCACTAATTAGAGTGAAGAAGTTGAAAAAACATTATGAACATCAAAGATCTAATAACAAACCAGTCTGATAGCATTACAACAATATCAAATATAGAAATACAAGAAGTGATTCCTTCAGAACTAACCAGAGAGATATAGAAAGAAGTATATATAGATGACCAAGATATGGAGATGGATATAGAACAAAATCAACAAGCATCAACTCAAACTAACTATGTGTCAATATCAAAAGTAAATAAAAAGTAAATATTTGAACTATCAAATCAAGATCTCTTTTCCCCTTTAATAAAACCATTTACTATAGTAAAAAGAGAGCCAAAATTAATATTCTCATCACAGATTTTCCAGGAAAAACTATAGCTCAGAAAATAACTTTTCTCATTAAAACCTTAAATTTACTGAAAAGACTTATAACAATTTGAAGTGAGAAGAAAAAAGAGACAAAACACATCATCATCATTTTAAGTAATAAACAAGAAGCAATTGAAATTTATAACAATCTATTACTTGATATAAACAACAAACACATAGCTCTTATAGAATATATAAATCCAATTCTAAAACAGAAAAATAGTATCAGAGTATATAACATTTCCCTAGATACCAAATTCATAGAAGTATAACAATTCTTTACCAAATATAGAATAATTAGCAACATTATTATGTCAACACAGAAAATGTAATAAACAATAATAATCATATATACAAAAAAAGAGGATAAAGATATTCTAATCAAAAAATAGAATATTTCCCTCAAAGCTAATTCAATAAAAGTTTTTAATATATAATAAGATATAGATCAAATAAAAATACATAAACAAACTATAGCAAAACTTGCTAATCTTCTACCCAATACTACTGCATTTGATCTAAGAAAAATATATAAATAAACCAAGGTCAAGACCTGCTATATACCAAGAAGAATATCATATAAAAAAAGACATTTGCAATTATCAGTTTCAATAATCAGGAAGAATTAGAAGCAACTATTTTATAAGAATTCCAATTGGATGATTTCAACTATACTTGGCAACCTATTGAAACTAAACTGTGTACAATTTGTGATAACCAGAACATCTACTCAATAGTTGTTTAAACAAAAAAGGAAGAGCACAATAGAAGAAATATAACAAGGAACAAGTGAACAAGCTTGAAAAACTATATAACAAGTTTAGATTTATATATACTACTTCAATTAAAAATTAAACTAAAACCATATAACATTATCTAATCAAGTCTGGATTTTATGTAGCAGCTGCCAAATCTAGTCAATATTAATCAAAAAAAAATTCAAGAGAGTAACCTAATACTAATTGACATCATGATCATTTTTAGAGAAATCAAGAATGAGATTGAAGAGATAAAAAAAAATTAGTAACTTGGATAAAAAAGTATACAACTTAGAAGTCCTAGAAAATAACTTTCCGAATACTATAAAAATAGAGAATAAAGAAGAAGACCCTTCAAATCATAATGGGATCTTCACTTCTCAACTAAGTATAAAAGAATACTCTAACAATTGAGCTCATAACAACAGAATTATTAATCTATAAGCAGGATAGATCAAAATATATACAAGGTACTCAATACAATTTCAGAACTAATCCCTAGTGCAGCCTTCTTTCCTCCTAAAAATAATCAATAAGTGATACACCAGAACCATCTATATTGAAAAACATAGTATACAACAATAGCAATATACAATTTAGGAAGACATTCAAGTAAAGATGTATTCCTAAAGAAGGAGGCAGGGACAAAAGTCAAATATCCCTCACTAGGAAACATTAAAATTTTTAAATTAATAACTATAAAAAAACTACTCATAATTGTTCTCCATTATTCAAATCATTAATTTATAACATTTTCTGACTTTTGTTCCTATTAAAGTAAAGAGTTATAAATTTTGTCTCTCAAAAAGGAACATAAGCAATCTGTGAAATTTTATATGCTAAATACTTTAGGGACCTATCATTATATTCAAGAACATATAAAAATAAAACCCCCAAACTCTACATCCTATCTAAACATTCATACACTAGAAGACAACTTCAATAACAATAACATAACTATATATACCAAGAAAAACATCCAATATCAATATGGCAAACTACAACTTTAATATTCAAGGTCTAATAAACAAATACAAAAGAAAGACTTGGTTCAACTGGTGTGCAACAAATAACTGGGATATAATTATAACAATTAAGATCAATGGTACTCATCAACAATCAAAATACTGGAAATACACATTCTACCATATAATTTGATTACACAATAATGAAAAAATGATCGAATAAAGCTTAAATTTAATGATAAAAAAAAACATAGCAGACCACATTTACAAATACAGTACTTGAAAAGAAGATTAATACATGCAGATCTCATATTTTCCAAAAAATAGAAATTTAGAATTATAGATATTTACTTTCATGCAAATAAGAGAGACAAAAATTGACAAAATACTCTCAATAAATCAAAGAAATGGATGTGAAAAGCACTTCAAAAGAATAAAAATTCTTTTTACTGATCCTTTTTTTTTCTTAAAAAAATTTTTTTTGCCAATTTTTTTGAAAAAAGTAAACTTGATCAAACATACAAGAAAAAACAATATATCTTCCAAACCAAGCTATTAAGCTCTTGCAATATACATACAACAAGCCTTTTAGAAATACCAAGAAAAAATATATATATTGTTTTACTGATTTTTTTTTACTTCTTTTTCTTAAAATTTTTAGAAGAAAGAAAAGAGACCTGTAAACTGATTTACAGTTAAAAAAAGGGATCAATATTCACTTCACACAGCTTATAGTCAGACCAATACAGGTAAACACCTTTCTTGATACTATAAGAAACTCAAGAAGCAACTAAGTTTACTTGATAAATCAAGTTACTTCAATTACACAAAGGTCCAGAAAGATATCAAAACTCTCTAAAGACAAAACAGTATAAATATACATATATACACAAACAATATATCTATCCTCCATATTGTTATATAAACATGATTACATAAAAGTAGATGAGCAAAACAAGTATACACATAAAAGTAATAACCAAAACATACACATATGTATATAACTTATGATCTAAACAAGTCGATTGACATTTCACACAAACATAATAACAACTTGCAAAATTTGAATAGTATCTCTAATATAAATAAATAAATATATCAAAACAACACAACAAGATTTTTCTATATTACCTAATCAAAAACATAAACAATAATAACCTCCAAAGGTTTATCCACAATCCAAAAATAGAATAACTAATAAATATAAACAAGCAATCATGTGACTTATCAATAAATCTAAATCAGTAGCACATATGAATAGAGTACAATATATATTACCAATATCAGTAAAAGAAAAGAAAATATAGTAAACACCTTAATCAATCTCTCTATAAAATATGATGAACACTCTACTTTATAAGCTTCACAACAATTACTAAAACAAAGAAATAATGAATCCAGTGGATCAATAGTCTTGTTATCAGAAACATATACTATTTTAAATAGTATTATAGCTAAAATAATGAGTAAATATAATAAACTTTCACAAGGAATGAATCTTAACTTAATATATCACATATTTTAACAACAAGGCAAAGAAATTAAAAAAGATTTTCTATAACCCTATATTGAAAATAAACTCATGGAAATTATCAAGAATTCTGAAAGTTAATATAAATTAGAGTAACAATTAATAGAGATCATAGAATAAATAGATAATGAATCAATAATAGACAATAAAGTAACAATAATATATACATGGAAGATCAAAAAACTAGAATTACAAAAACTTCAAGAAACAGTAAAAAAATAATGCATTAGTGAACATAGCTCCTATATCACTAGGAATAGAGACACAATACCATCAATGAATTTTTACTTCATAAAAAAGAAAGAAACTTATATATTAGATACAATGATAGCCAATATTCTAGGAGGAACAAAAAATGAAACTAAGGCATACCTAAGCAATACTCTTAAACTTTTACAGAAAAAAGAAACTTATTGCAAAAAGAGTTTATCAATAGAAATAAATGGCTAGTCTTTTATATATAAAAGGAAGAAAATTTTTTAAGATGCATTGAATAAGTTAACTGAAAGAAAGACAACTTCATCATTTAAAATATAACACATTTTACCATTCATAAGAAACAAAAAAACAGAAAGAAATTTAAATAAAAAGGATTTTCAAGAATCAAAATCCAAAGAAAATACTATTATCTGGCATGTATATTTAGTAGACGTGGATCAGAAAAACAATAAAAACCTCATAAAAGCATATCTAAAAAGATATGGCGAAGTCCAAAACATTTATATCTATGAGAGATACAAAACCATAAGTGAAAGCTTATATCAAATAGCACAAATATCTTAGCCTAAATCCTGAAGAAATTTGGATAACTCTAATTAATACAGAAATGTCAAGAGCTATATTTTTCAAGTCTAAGCTTAGCAATTATGAAATCAATCAAATATTAATTGAAAGAAATGAAAACTTAGCAAGACTCCTAAATACCAATAAAAGCTACATCAGTCTAATAGCCAGAGTATTAAATGGTACACAAGCTAAGGTATACTATATACCCAAAGATTCTTATATACTTAAGAAGTATAACTTTATAGTAGTTTACTTTAAGACCAAAAAAGAAAAAATAAGATATACAAACAATATATTTTTTTACAAGGATATTGCCTCTCATGAAGTATCAAATATATATCCAAAACAAAAAAATGAAATCCTAAAAATGATAATAAAAATACAAGATTCAATTCACAAATATAGAAATAAACAATAAATCAACACCTGACTCACAATTAAATAACGAATCAACAAAGTCCATTTCAAATACAACAAGTTATTACAGGTTCAGGAATTTGAGATAGACCAGGCAGTGAAACAATAATAGAATAAGGCATAAAAAAAACTCTATAGAAGATTATCCTGTAACAGAAAGCAATAGAA